TTCAGGAACACCTATGCTGGCTTACCAACACGGCACCTATGTAGCATACGGCGATATACTTATACCGATCCGACTTGCCGATAGATTCTCTCACATTTGTGTTTGATTGTGCGCTTGTTTGCTTACATCGACACTTGTCCTTGGTCCGCGGCACGGCATCTATACTGGCTTTGGGGTTTTGAAGGCTTTGGGTGTTTCGGGTTTGGGGTTTTGAAAGGCTTTGGGTGTTTAGGGCGAGTCGTTCTAGCTTTCGAATTTCGGGTTTCAAGGCTTTGCCTTGAGGGCTTATACATAAACATTACAGGATTTCGGGTTTCTGTTTTTTGGGTTGTGCAGGGTCCTCGGGTATGGGGTCTTATAGTGCTATTTGGGGGTTTTGGGTTTTATAGGATTTCGGGCTTTGGGGTTTGGGTGTCTTCGGGTTTTTGAGAGGGCTTTGCGGTTCCTGTGAGACGTCTTCAGGTTTGGGGGTTAAGTTTATCGGGACTTCAGTTCGCCACAAGATAGACCCTCAACCCAAACACCGAACACACGCCCTACAAGGGTAGGGAGCGCGAGGGAGAGAGTGAGGGTGAGCGAGAGGGAGAGAGAACATGACTAAACCTAGACTCGGCTATCTGAAAACATATACCGACCTATTCAGCCCTCTTGCCGCTGATCTGGGCCAGCTCCTATGCTCTTACCTGATTCAGCAAAACTGAGCTTTTCAGCTGTTCTGGAAATCTCGAACAACAAGCCCATGCACTTCAGCGAGCGCATCTTTCAGATCACACAGCTCCTGGGTATCGGCAGGGGGGATACCGCCACGCTTCGGCTGACGGCGGTATGCTTTGACCTTGAACGGCGGATTAAAGACACAACACGATCACAGAAGAAACACACACAGGAGTTGCACTGCATGATTTGCTTAGCTATCTGCCCACTCTTCGGCGATCACGGCATTCGTGAGAACACAAGGCGATGGCTTGGCAAAGTACGCAATCTGGTTCCACTTGTCCGCGAGGCCACCCCGGACTTTGACACCCACAGCTGATCTTGTCCAGTAGATTGAGTACTGCTGATTCTCGTCATGCGCTTCCACAACTCGGTGTGTGTGCTTGCCCTGCATGCCCAACTCCTTTGCTTCCTTGCACTCATGCAAGCAATCGATGATCTTCTGACGAACATCCTTGTGCCAGGGCCACTCGGGATGAGTCGGTTCGTCATTCGTCGGAGCCTTCGCCTTTGCTTTACCCCGTCCCCTTCCCCGTCCTTTTCCTCCCTTAGCCTTGGCCTTTGGCATTGCATCAGTCGTCTGCGCAGGCGCCTCTTCAGCGCCATCCTTCAGCGGCGCCGCCCTACGAATCCCGGGCCCCGCAGGATCCGAACTGGAAGCGCTGCCCTTCCCTTCCTGGACACCTTCATCATCACCCTCCTCCTCTTCCTCCTCCCCCTCATCATCATCGTTTTTTTCTTCATCTGATTCTTCCTGATCCTCTGCCTCTTTCTCTGTCTCCTCTGCTGCGGCCTTGGCTGCAGGCTTCTTCATCACTCGACCTCGGCCCCTTCCTCCCCGACCTCTCCTGCCACACTTGGGCGGTGGACCCTCATCTAGCTTGCCTTCTTCACTTCCTTCGCCGTTTCCCTCACCGCCCTTGTTCTTTTCTGCCTTCTTGCGTTTCTTTTCTCCTATCTGATCTCGGCGCTTGAGATACTCATCGGTGGGAACAGGAGGAAACGTAGACGGCATATCCTGAGCTATTTATTTAGGCGCGACAGTGGAAACTGTTGCAACACATGAAGGATGAATCACCACTATAGGCATACGAGTCACATCGGTGCCCTCAGTAGGGCCGGCAGGGTCGGTGGTCTCCATGGGTTCCACGACGGGCTCTACGGGCTCTAAGGGCTGAGTACAACTGGGATCTGCAACGACGAGTGTGTCATCAGTGTCCATGCCATACCCCGTAGACAGTCCGCAGCCTAGGAATGGAAGGAAATCATTTGGACGGGTACAACACAAATACAGCAGAATCACTCGCGAATCACTGCCAAGAACCTGCTGCAGGAGCTCCAGCAGCACTGTCGGGAGGGGGAGTTTGCCCAAGCCTCTTGGCCGCGAGTGTCCTAGGATACGCCAGGGGTGTTGCTGCCTGTCGACAACAAAACTACACAATCCCCTCCCAGCCCAGCATGCACATAAGGTTGCAGTCAAAAAGCGAGCTCACATCCATAAGCAGATTCGAAAGCCGTGTTTCAAGGTCACACAAAGGTGCCCCATCAAGCTCTTCTTCGGACGACGCCACCATTTCACAGTCCTCTTTAATGATCTTAGGCCACGATACTGTATATGTATAGCTCCAACATCTATGCTTGTTTCTCCTGCGTGCAAGACATCCCTGTGGCCTGTGGGTCTTTGGCCGCCGGCTCGGCCGGCTCACCAGCATCCGGCACCTGCGTGATTGGGTTCGGCTTAAGCAAAATTTTGGCTGCTTTAGCAGAGCTTGCAGAAATGATTTTATTACAGGTTCAGGATTTGGTTTCGGGCTTGTTTATACACGCTCAAAATGAGGTCAATTGCCCTGCCTGCGAATCTTCGAGTGCTCCGGGCGCCGATGGGGCAGGCACCTCGCAGAAGCAATCAAAACATTGTCTGTAGCAAGCGATATGGGGCTAGGTTGCGACGCAGTGAGCAGTCTTTGTGCGTAATACGGCCATGCAGAATGTCAAAACGGTCTGGTGAAGGAGCGGAATCTGGCAGGGCCCATATACTACACATCGGACCTGGACAGTGTCACGCATGATGTGTAGATATGTATCCCATGTTTCCGGTAAAGGCTGCACATGTGTGCCTCTTCCGGCACTGGTGCGGCTGCCGTAGCGTCCTGGCCAAACATAAGGGCTCACGGGTTTAGGGTTTAGGGTTATATATACGGGCTAAGGGTTTATATAAGGGTTTCTGACCGAGCAAACGATTGACACAATTAACGGGAATTTGATGACCCTTAAAGTACCCTGTGTAAGCATCCCTCAAGCCGCAAAGATCCACCATCTAACCGACTGCGCAAACTCAACCGGCCCCTCGTAGCCTACATGGTGCCCCTGACAGTGCCGTGTAATTTATGCAGCTCAATGGATCCTGCTGTACCTGCACCAACCCAGCCCGGCATACTCAATGTAAAGACATTGGGACAACGAATGCTTAAGCCTATAAGCCCAAAACCTCAAACCTGAACACTATACCTGCAAAAACCTGAGCCCTCAACCCTGAACCGAATTCGCTTTGCGGTAGTGTGCTTGCAGTGGCAAAATTTCAACCGCTTATGTTACATAGGACTCTGTACGACTGCACAATGCTGCAAAGCCGACGAATCACCAGAAGGGGTGCCTCCGTCGGCATTTCGGAATCCTGCACAGGGCCATGCCGTGAGAGAATCATGCCGTGAGAGAATCATGCCAAGTACACTGACAAACGTCATTAGACAAAGGGCAACCGTCGAGAAGCACAACACGACTGCGAGTTAATGTTTGCTCATGCTGATAACTTGACAGGGTCTTTTGTGCTCTCCTTGGGATCCATATCGAAGCCCAGGTCAGCCAGGAGACTTCGCACGATTGGGTCCTGGCCGGAAGCACGGAAAAAAGAGCTGCTTAATGGGGTGCCCGAGCTTTTGGGGCTGCAGTCCTTGATTATGTGTTGTCCTTCCTTCTTTACTCGAGTGCCTTCCCCCTTCAATAGCGAAGTGAGATGGCGGATCGACCATGCTTCATGGTACACGATCTCTCCGGACACTCGAATGCTGTTGTTCTGGTAGACTGTGTGAACTTCTTCAATCAGGCGGTCGATATTGGGAAGGAGCAAGTTGTTCAGTCTGACCAAGTGTAAGACTGGCGGCAACACGTGCCGGTTCGCTCGTGCATTGTGTATTGTTTTCTCCACCTGTGGCACAATCTCCTCCCGTTTCATCTTGGAGTTGTACCGAATCAACAGACGGCCCTGGTTGCGCATGCGCTCCCGAACAGGTCATCCCAAGTCAACGCCAGTCCGTCGAGTGAATAATTTCCCACCCTTTCCTTCCCTTCTGAAGCACTGCCGTCCTCCTTCTTGGAGGCAGCAGAAGCCATGGCTTTTATACCTACCCTACCCACAGCAGTGCTGCGTAAGCCACGTGATCGAGAATCCTGAGTCTGATGCGATGGTGCTCGGCGAAACCAATGTGCGAGCACTGAGCACAGGTTGCAGCAATATAAACACGCCAGCAGCACCGTTTGACGACGCCCATTAGGGAAGGCGTGCAGATCTACCATGGTACTATTATGCTGAATTGCTCGTGTTATGTCTGGGTATGATATTTCATGCAACTTCTTTCTCAAACCTGCGCTTTCTAGACCCGGTGCAGGCATAAGAAAAATGTATGAGCACACAAATGAAGCATGGATGCTTGGGTACTGTATGTCTGTATGTCATGGATGATTTCTGACCAAAGACCAGCCCGACGCTGGCGAACGCCTGCGAACGCCTGCGATCGCATTTTATTGCGGTACACAATAATTCTCTGCCAGAGGTAGAGATTCATGCGTATCTTGGATCTCCGGAATCATTTCCAAGTAACACGTTTAGCAGGTACGTACCATGATGTCTTGTGGAGTTTCGATTGGGATGTGTGGGATTTATGTCGGGGCATAATGACTTGAATGAGGCTTGAGATCCTAAACCCTAAATTCTAAACCCTAAACCCCAGCCCCTTTATGACAGTGGGGTCCTCAGTAATATGTTACCGCACATTCGCACCACCACTACTGTTGAACAAATTGTGCTAGCAGGCTCCTTCGGATGATAAGAGGCACATTGCTAACTCAAGGAGAGTTGCTCTTTGCGTGCCAGCACCTGAATCTGTTCGGATTTAGGGGTGTAGGGTTTAGGGGGAACGCTTGCCCGCCACATGCAATTTCATTGGATAGTAGCGCTTTTTGCGTGCATGGCGAAGTATGGAAGAAGAGTTCCGGAATTTCTCTGCCAGGAGGGTCAGCTGAAATGGACATCCAAAGCCGGTGCCCTACAACGTCGGGCTTCTGTGTGTTAAGGATTAATAACGTAGAAGCCTGAAGAGAATACTGTCGCAATGCTATTCCTTCAGGTTCCTCATATGATACGATTGATGATATGTAAATCCTGCATTACCCGTAAAACCATAATTCCCATAGCTTAGGGTCCTTAAGGTCATGCAGGATTTATATCATCAACAGTATCTCAGTATGAAGGCCCCTCTTGTTGGAGGCTCTCGCAAGGCTTTGCTGGAAGCCTGCACGCCAAGCATTCCTACCCGGAAGCAAGTCTGCATGCCACAACCCTGAAGCTCCAAAACCCTACCTAGGATGCCTAGTAGTCGTACCCTTATTCCCTTAAGGCCTAAACCCTAAACTCTACATCCCTAAACCCAAAATTCCTAAACCCCTGAACCCCAAACTCCCAATCCCGAAGCCCGGAACCCGAAAGCCCTAAACTGGAACCTCTCCCACGAGGTTGGCCTGAAGAAGGACCGGACCTCGGCGTTTTCGACAAAAGGGAGTTTTCGAAAATTAGGGGACTAGGGGTACCTTTAAAAGGATCGTTGAAGGGCTCCTTAAAGGCGGATCTATAAGGGTTCTATAAAGGGTTTAGGGTTTCCGAAAATTAGAGTACCTCGTTTTGGGGTCCTTATAATAAGGATCCTATTTAGGTACTATATTAGGCATTAGGGTCCCCTATTTTCGGAAACCCCCACATATCGGATGACATTAAGGGCTTTGGGTTGCCTTTTGGGGGTTTACGGTGTAAGGGTCAGGTTTCTTTTTGGGCCCGGGGGTTTTTAAGTTGAGGTTCCCCTTGTGTTGGGGTTTAGGATTTACGTTTAGGGTTTGGAGGTGCTGAGTTTGAGGATTCCGAGCTTTGGGGGCTTATGGCTTATGGCCCAAAAGGCTTTGGGCCTCACATATGAGGGCTTCGGGCTATAAGAGTCGTGAGTTTCGGGTTTGGGGTTGGGGGTTTACGATGTAGGGCTTTCGGGTTTAAGGTTTAGGAGCTGTTAGACGCTGAGGGCTGCTGGGCTTAGTCACTGATCCAGGATTGAAGGTGTGGAGGTCTGGGCTGGAGCAGTAGTTAAGTTGGTTTCTGCGTAAGCCAAGCAAGGGCAAAGACATTTGATTCAAGGTCCGGACGACAAGCCACGCCAGGACTGCCGCGTGATTTGGGAGTTTCCGAAAATAGGGGACTCTAATATAGCACCCTAAATAGTCGGATCCTTATAAGGACCCCAAAACAAGGTACCCCCTAATTGTCGGAGATTCCCATTTCTAAGCTCAGTTGTTGTCAGGAGCTCTCTCACTCAGGGCTTGAGCACAAATATCATGGATCTGTAGGATCCCGAAACACCTGCTTGGAGGTCGGGGGGCTTAGTAACTGGTTATTTTAAGGACTTATAAGCACCATAACCCCAATTAGGGTCCCTTTTAGGGTACTTAGAAGTCTACTTACTACCTACTTACTAAGAACCCCGACCCTCCAAGTGGTGGTAGAGTTTGCACGTGGATCATATCATATGCATGTGCTTAAATGTATGTCTGTCCATGCATGCATGCATGCATGCGAGGATGCAAGGACCTCGGGGCTTTTACGGTATGAATCAGATAATAAAGCCGAAAGGGGTTGACGGTTTAGGGTTCGGTGTTTTAGGGAATAGTGTTTAGGATAGCGGCAAACAAAGCCGTCCTGCTACTAGCGCCGATGCGAGCCAAGCGACGGAAGTAGTGATTCTGATAGACACCCAGAGACTCCAATATCCCTTAATTAAGGAGTTTACTTTAAATCATATAAGGGATCGTACTAACTATATTTTATGGTAATATTCCGTAATTGAGGGATATTGGAGTCTTTGGGCACCTGGGTGGCCTCACATAGGGACACGCAAACGCTGGACAGCTGCCCATGATGCGCATCCAGGTAGGGCTTTGGGAGATTTTATATTTTCCCTTTTTGGGATCTGAGTGCTAATATTTTTCATTGGCTTTAAAAGCCCCAGCTAAATATTCTTTCACGCATAGATGGTTTGCTTCTGCTGTTGCTTTGGAAGCCGCCGCTACCCTCAGGCCTCAGTTGCCACACCCCGAATCCCCTAGACTCTCGAATGAAAGCAAATCCCCGCACTTCTAAACCCCCCAGAGCAAACCTAAACCCTAAACCCTGAAACTGAAAGCCCTGAGACTTGGCGGCATTTCTCCAGGGTTTCGGCAGAGCCAAGTGGCAGGTGCATGCAAGTGTGATCCTGGCATGCTGCAAGGGAAGGACAGGTGGCAGTTTGGGACAATTTGCTCATATTATCCCTTATGGTGTTGTAGGGTTGGTTTGTCTTGATTGTTTTGGAGGGCGATTGAACTTACAACCTCGGAGAAATGTTTTTCCGCAGGAGGCACGTGTGCACGAAGTGCGGTGTGTTTTTGACCATCGTGTACGATGAAGACGATGCGGACGCTTGCCTGCAGACAGCCCTGCACAGGCAGCACCCGCAGACTTGTAGAACTTCCATCCCGGCCAGTGCCCCGTCAGCTGTCAGCAGTGCTGCAGTAGTTTATAACTTTGTTATTTCGAGCGACTGTGTGTGTGTGTGTGTGTAATTTATATATATATATATATATATATATATATATATATATATATACACACTATATATATATATACACATACATATTTATACTTATACTTATATGCAGCAATAGAATCCGAGAGCAACACCGATGCGGAGCCTCAACACCCCCTGGCCAGACTCAGGGAGTTGATATAGAAGGTTCTCCACAAGCCGGACTTAGCTTGATTTCGTTTAACAAAGTTATTTTAAGTGACCATAATAAGGAAATCATTTTATTTACTATAGATTCCTATTATGGAAACTTAGATTAAATTCCGTAACAAGAACCCAGCTTAGCTTGGGGAGGATTTGGGGGATAGTTGATCCCACCTCACCTCGTGCACTTGCAACAATGATACACCGGAATCATAGAAGCCAATCCTGAAGCAGGTGCAGAACCGACCCTGAACCCTGAGCCCTTTAAGTAGGGCTTACTTGGAGGGTCGGGGGACTTAGCAACTGGTTCTTTTAGAGACTTATAAGTACCATAACCCCAATTAGGGTCCCTTTTAGGGTACTTGTAGGTCTACTTACTACCTACTTACTAAGTCCCCCGACCCTCCAAGTAGTGCGGGCTTAAACACGCTAGGTGTGGCCTTTGGCCGGAGCATTGGACGACTGCTACACGAAGGACGTGCTATCATCAGTATCGGGGCTTCAGGTTCAGGGATTGGGGTCCCGCAGGGGATTAACTATTCGACCAGATATCTGGCGCACACCACACTGCCACCGCCGCAGTAGGAAAAGCGCGCAGGCGCAGCATTGGCACAATTCGAGCATATTCAAGTCGTGCTGTAGCCTGTAGCATCAGTGATCTAGCAATGGTCACGGATGCGACAGATCGGCACGCTGCTGTGCTTGCAGACCTTGACCGCCGGCAAAGTGGAGCAGCTGCTGAAGATCCTGGAGTGGAGCGATGCCGTCGTAAGCAGAGTAAGCAGAGATGTGGAGAGTCAGTATAAGGCGGCCGGAGCCGAGGCATCTGCTGAGGACATATGCAACATTGGAGGTGTCCAGGGAGCCTAAGCAGTAAGATTACTAAACACTGAGGCTTCTAAATTATTCGCGGACATCAGTCGGTCAGATATTCGAGTCCAGTGGGCCCAGGCTTGGAATCGGGTTTGGACTTTAGGATTTGGGTGAACGACAGGCGCTCCAAGCACGTCGACCCCGGACCCAAAGATAGAAAGCAATTGCAGCAGTCGCAGTCGCACAGCAGGAGCAGGTGTAGGACTAGGGTTTAGGGTTTAGGAGCAGTACGCAGTCTCATCGTTGTACAGCCGAGTGGTAGCAACAAAAGCCTTGCTTGGATTCAGCATTAGTGGTACCATAGGCCAAGACCGGGTTGGTTGACTGTAGGCTGAAAGGAAGCATTGGCTTTGACGTGCGGCATCAGGTGCTCGTTTGGATCAGGAACGACGCTGCAAAGCCCTAAACCCTAAACCCTAACCCCTAAACCCTAAACCCTAAACCCTAAACCCTAAACCCCTAAACCCTAAACCCTTAAACCCTAAACCCTAAACCCTAGATCTGGATTTCAGGCTTTAGGTCTTGGATTGTCGGTCTAAGATCCGTGGGGGCGGGGGGTTCCTGCTTCGGAACGTAGCAAGAAATCAGGGCTTGAGGTAAGGCAACCGTAAGTGGATTATTTGTCATCCCAACTAAGCCACGGACGAACCTTTAAGCAAGTCGGGCGAAGCAAAGCACATGGCAGGACTCGGAGCCTCAAAACCTTTCCCATTCCATACGCGCCCACCCTGACCCCTAAACCCTAAAGCCCTAGTCCTACCTAATCTTGCAGGAGGACTTGTGTCTCCGTGTCTCTGATGTTTCGCACATCTGTGTACCGGCCTTGGCTGCCCAGCGCCGACTGAGTCCCGTAGGCTTTCGAGTTTCAGGGTGGGGTCCACGGTTTCGGGTTCAGGGTTCTGGGTTTTACCCTAAACCCTAAACGGTTTAGGGTTTGGGGTTTAATTAGGGTTCAAGAAGGCACTTTCAGCCTGGGGGATCCCAAGCAGAAAGGTGTTTCGGGTTCAGGGCTTTAGGGCCGAGGGTTTAGGGGTTTGGGGTTTGAGCGTATATGGTACGGGTAGGGTTTCGCATGAGCGAGCACTCTGGATCCGACAGTCATGGCTCATCCCAGAGACTCCAAACCCCGTTAATTAAGGAATATTCCTTGAATCATAGTAGGGGTCCTACTATAGTTTAGGGTATGCTTTTTAAATCGAGTGATTTGGGAGTCTCTGGGACTATGGCTCCCAAATTACGCAGTCGCAAAAACACAAGCCTGCCGAGACGGAAGTAACTGGGAATCAGGCAACCACGACGCATTGGCTTTTCCTTAGGGTTCCTTGAAAGGG